GGGCATTAGAGCGAGAGCTCCAAGAATTTTTGCACACTTTTTTTTTTGGTGCTATCAAATTTTAAAGGGATAGTTCACCCATAAATGAAAATTCTGTCATCATTTACTCACCCTCAAGTTTCTTTCTTCTGCGCAACACAAAATAAGGTATTTTGAAGAATTTGGGTAACCAAACAGTTGCTGGTAGCAATCAACAGCTCGGGTATCCAGTCCTGCTTCTGGAGGGCCACCTTTCAGCAAGGTTAATGAATCACACCTGAACCTGCTAAACGAGGTCTTCAGATTCACTAGAAACCTCCAGGCAGGTGTGTTACAGCTAAAATCTGCAGGGACCTCCAGAATCAGGTTTGGACATACCTGCAAGAGCTGAACATATTAATTTACCTGCAATGTTGTCACATTCCGATTAAAAATTAAAGTGACAGTGATGTATGTCTTTGTGAAGGACAGGTGTGTCCAATTGTGCTCCTGGAGTTTGGCTCCAGCCCTAGTTAAAAGGAATAGCTCACCCAAAATTTTGTCATCATTTACTTACATTCATGCCATTCAAAACCTTTAGTACTTTCTTTCTTACCAAACAGTTTCTGGTCCCCATTGACTTCCATAGTATTGTTTTTCCATACTATGGAAGTCAGTGGGGTCCAACAACTTTTTGGTTACCCATATTTTTCAAAATATCTTCTTTTATGTTCAACAGAAGAAAGAAACTCATATAGGTTTGGAACAATTGGGTGAACTATCCTCTTAAGGTCTTTAAGATTACTAGAAACGTCCAGGCAGGTGTGTTGAAGCAGGTTGGTGCTAAACTCTGCCAGACGTTGGGCCTCCAGGAGCAGAATCTCTGGTGTAGCATGCAACAAATGGACAGTAATGCCCTGCACCCTTCAAAGTGGGTAGGACCAAATGAATATTGAATTTCAAATGAAATTCTGGCCATGACGAATAAAGACCACTTACCTTTAGCGGTTAATGGCCCCTACCAGGTGCAGGGGGATAAAGGCCGGCTATGCCAGGGGGTTGAAGACCAGCAGGTTTGGGCTGCACAAGCAGTGAATATCGATTTAATTTTCGTACACCCTACAGCATTCAAACATGCACTTATCCTAAAAATGGCCATCATGGAAGATTTTCCAAATGTTAAGCATCACTACTGATCCCAGCGTAACTCCTACCTGTTGTACGCAGCCATTTTGCAACGATATAAGTGTGGCGTCCTTCACAGCAAGCTGGGCTTCTACTAGTTCTTTGGCGTCCCTCAGTCTGCTTTGCTCCTTGAGAAGCTGCTCCAGTTGCTTATCATACTTCTGTTGGGCGTCCTGCAGTTTTTTGCTGCTCTCCGCAGCCTCTTTTTCCCGATCCATTCTGCACTTGTCCAGTTCGGAAGTCAGTTCGGCATTCTGTACTTCCAGCCGGCTGCTCTGTTTTTGAATACTCGAGACCTTCGCTCCCACATTGTCCAGGTAGCTCTGGAACTTGTCCTCCACCTGCTGAGAGAGGCTTGAGCAGTTGGAGCGAATCCTTGCCATCTGTTCTTCCTGTTTCGAGCAGGTGAGGTGAAACGTGACCGAGTTGGTGAAGAAGTTGTCGATTTTGGTCAGGAAGGCACTTGTGACCGTCTGGATGCCTTGGAGGGACTCTGCAAAGTCCTCTTTGCATTTCTTGGTGTAAACATCAAGCTGGGATTTCAAATTCAGGTTTTCTTGTCTCAGCTGTATCACCAGACTATGATGTTCATTTTTATCCTTCACTGCGTTGTCCAAGTCAGCTTTAAGGTACTCCATCGTTTGGCTGAAGTTACTCTTAAGGATTCCATAGAGAACTTTCTGCTGTTCCAGAAGAGTATTTAGAGTTTTTATTTCACCTGAGAAGAGAAAAGAGAGCCACGTCAACAGGACCGCCTCTGTGAATTTGATTATTCATTAATCATTGATTGATTGATTGATTGCACTCACCATTCTGATTGTTGTTGCTTGGTGGACATGGGAGTGGAGTATTTCGAGTGCTTGAAAGCTTCATTTTACTGGCCTCGCAAAGAGACTGTAAAACAGCCAATCAAAATCAAGTGTGTAATTATTATTAGTGTTAGGGTTTCAAGATTAATCACACAAGATTCATTTCGTAATATCTTAAAATTAACAAGACAAAAATGAAAAACATCACACCAAAATGAAACCTCAGTCCTCATTTGCACACCCTCATGTCTTACTTTCTTCTTTTAAAAAATATATTTTTGTTTGTTCCACAGAAGAAAGTAAGTCATACAAGTTCGAAACGACATGAGGGTGAGTAAATGATGGTGACGACATACAAGCAAATAAAGGACTTACAAGAGACTTCTGGAAGTTACTGCTCTTGATCGTTGTCAAGTTCAAGTCATTTTTCAGCTTTGCTATTTCTTTATCCGCCGCATCCTTCTCTCCAGTCTTTGCTTTGAGGGCACTGGTGAGGTCAGCTTTGTCTTTTCTGAGTTTGGTGTTGTCTGTGGAGAGTTTGTTAAAGGCCAGCTCCAGCTCTTCCACTCTCTTCTCCTCGGCGGTCTTCTCCGGCTGGCCGTACACCAGGAAGAGCACCAAACTGGCGATGATGAGGGACTGGATCAGAGACGAGAAGAAGAAGAGGATCCTCATGTAGTAGCCACAGCTTTTCCCCTTCGCCTTGTGGATTTGTTTCGCCTCCAATCCTAACGTGGCCCGGGAGTAGCTGCTGTTGTACATTTCTGAGGTCCAATTGTGGGAATGAGATGGACCTTCTGAGGATTTTGATTCTAGAGGTTATGAAAAAATTATGGTCAAAAGGTTACCAAAATACCCCGTCACACTTGTGGGCAATGACATGTAAACACTTCTACCAGGACACGGGGCGGGAGCTGTGTTTATAAATGCAGAGACACACTTCCCGCACCGTGACTCTTTCCGGACCCTCCCCAGGAAAGCTCCAGAGGTTATCGGTACTTCATGCTGAACCTACCGAGATCTCCAGAGATAAACAGAGCCGAGCCGGAGCTCCTCCCTTACTTTCCCTCATAAATCACACCAAACCCTGACAAGGAATGCAGACCACCATCGAACATCTAGATAACACTTATTTCATAAGCTCATTGTGGGATTTGTCTTTAGCTGTTCTTGGCATCCATATTGGTGTTTCTCAATATGAGTTAATTCACATTATATCAGCCATCATTTAGGAATTACCCTCTTTGGCCAAGAAGAACAATGTTCCTGCAAAGGACAAAAGCAGATCTCTTCCTGGATCAGATCAGATACATAAACACATATGATCAAAACAACCCATCTGAAACTGTTTCCTGCAGAGCTACATCGGTGGAGTCGGAGGGACAACAATGGTGACCTGTCATCCTCCTCACAGGAATGAATAACAAACTCTCCCAGAAGTCCAGGAGGAGGCAGCACGTTTGATCCCGGGCTGGCGATGACGCTCGCAGCTGACAGTCGTGTCTGGGAGAGTGTGAAGAGGGAACATAAAGTAAGTCAGGGGTTTTCCTGCAGGCCATTGTCTCCTTGCCAATCCATCCTCAACGGAAAGTAATTTACAGAGGGTTTTTGAAACTGACAAAGTTCTCAAAATTCCCTTACAGAACGCAAATGAGCTTTAAGACAAAAACAGGAAGCTGAATCTGCAAAAGACAGCCAAACACAAGACATTTGACAATAAAGACAGATGAACTGTGGTTAATATAGGGCATTAGAGCGAGAGCTCCAAGAATTTTTGCACACTTTTTTTTTTGGTGCTATCAAATTTTAAAGGGATAGTTCACCCATAAATGAAAATTCTGTCATCATTTACTCACCCTCAAGTTTCTTTCTTCTGCGCAACACAAAATAAGGTATTTTGAAGAATTTGGGTAACCAAACAGTTGCTGGTAGCAATTGACTTTCCTAGTATTTTTTTTTTTACTAGCAACTCTTTGGATACACACATTCTTCAGAATATCTTCTGTGTTCAACAGAAGAAAGAAACTAATACAGGTTTGGAACAACTTGAGGGTGAGTAAATGATGGCAGAATTTTTATTTTCCCTTTGTTTCATTTTAAAGATCATTTCACCCAAAATGTCATTATTTACTCACTGTCATGTCAGTCTTCTCTGGAAAACAAAAGTTGAGTATTACAGTCATACAGGTTTGGAACAACATGAGGGTGAGTAAATGTTGGGTGAAAAAAAAAAAAGAGGAATAAAGCCATTCAGTAAATCACATATTTGTGGGTACACTTATTATTCACTCTTAAAAATAAAGGTTCTTTATTGGCTTGTATGGTTCCAAGAACGATTCTTTAGATTATTCAAATGTTCTTCACATTAAGAAAAAAAAACTGTTCACTGAAAGATTCTTTGGGGAACCAAAAATGGTTGTTTTACGACATAGCTATGTAAAACTATTTTTTAAAAGTGGCGGGAAAGTTTAAAGACCATTTCTAAGAATTGAGCATCTTGATGGTTTTCCTCCATCTTTGTTTACAGTTTGGAACAAAATACTTCTCAGAACTAAGGAGGTTACAGGGTGAAAAAGGTTAATGATTATTAACACAATAATGGAGAAAAAATATGACCTGAACACTCTTCCGACTATTATCTGTGAACTTTTGTGCTGCTCAAAAGCAGGATACAGAATCACAGATTCACACGCGTTTGTGGTCAAAGAATCAAAACAAAGCGATTTCTTCTTCTTCTTAAAAAACAAAACAAAACAGTTCCTGTTAATAATTCCAAAGGTAAATGAAAAGAAGAATGACTCTTATTTTGTTCAGCTGTACTCCTGTGACCTCTTGTGGTCACAATTGCATTGCTGCTTTAATTTTCCCATCAAGAGTTTTGTTTTGCATTTATAAAAGTAGAATGTATCTTTAGTGAATATTACATATTCTTCACTGGCCCTTCCCAATTCTTTTATTAACAGGATATACATTTAGTACAGTATATAATAATGCAGTGTAGCATTTATCCATACATTTTTTTGGATATATATGATATTTGTATATATATATATATTTTGGATTTTTTGTGAAATATATTAACCAATAATATTGCTTTTCACTATCCAGTCAAAATTATGATGAACAGCATCAAGCCCAGCCCTCTATTAGGTCCCACTAATTAAATTTTTTTTTTACTTGAAAATGTCTTCAGTTCAAATGCCTTGTCATTTAATGCGGTTGTCTTTTAAAATCATTTTGTCCACAGCTACACTGTTTCTCGACCATGTTTTTTGGTTCGTTTTTGAGGCACCCATGTAGCAAATGAGTCTCACAGAGCATTTACATTTCATTTATTTGACAGGAGTGAGCAAACAGTATTTATTAGCTGCTGTCCAGATGAACTCACTAAACCATTAGCACATTAAAGATCCAGTCATTGGATCTCTATGGCCATCATTCACATGAGCTCATCTGTGAATCTCCGCCACTTAACCAGCGGACGTTTGATGCATGATGTATCCCTTCACATGACGTTTTCAGAAACCAGAACATTTAGAGCTGACATTCTCAAAACTAATTGGTTAGCTTTAATGGACTGTTCCACAGCAGGGTCTTGAGCTAGTGTGGTTATAGCTGCTGTGTAAAGTAATAAAAGAGGCATTTCCAGTACAGAACCAGTGGACAAGGCCATATATATATATATATGCAGTTATTCACAGGTCACTCCTTCAGTTTTTCAGTGTGTGGTTATGAATCCAGGAGATTTGAGTCTCAAACCGTGGCCTCGTTCTCTTGCGTGTCTTCGTCCTCCAGCAGACTGTAGGACGCGTGGCTCTGGAAGGGTCTCTGCAGCGGGTGGCACAGCAGTTTGGCCATGCAGTTGTGCAGCTCAATAGCAGGACCACACAGGGACACCTCAAAGCGGTAACACATTCCCTTAGAGTCCAGCTCACTGAAGGAGGCGTACACATCCTGACAATACAGACACAGACATTCAGTACCTCTTTATAAAAACTGAAGGGAAACATAGGAAGCTCAAACCTTCCAGCTAGTGTCTTCTGTCTGTTCTTCAGTTCCATTGTGAAGATAAACAACATCAAAGAAGAAATAGGGAGACTGCAGCATTTTCTGGAAAGAAAGAGAATATGCAGGATTACTAATTTGAGGAAAACACTGTTTATTTAGTATCATTAAAGAGATAGTTCACCCAAAAATGAAAATGTGTTGTTTATCTGCTTACCCCCAGGGCATCCAAGATGTAGGTGACTATGTTTCTTCAGTAGAACACAAACGAAGATTTTTAACTCAAACCGTTGCAGTCTGTCAGTCTTATAATGTAAGTGAATGGGAATCACGGCTTTGAGAGTCAAAAAAACATACACAAACAAAACCAAATTAAACCCTGCGGCTCGTGACGATACATTGATGTGAAAAAACACAAAACGATCGGTCTGTGCAAGAAACTGAACAGTATTTATATATTTTTTACCTCTGATTCAAATGGACCACTGACACTCCTAATTGAGATTGTAGATAGAGTGTCAATGGTCTATTTGAGAGATAGGTGGCAGTAATGCACTTACAAGTCTGCGATTCGCCGTAAAGCAAGAAGAAGAAGAAGACGCGTCACGTGCCGGCTGTTGAAAACGCGCTCAGGACAGTTCAGACATTGCGTGAATCAGAGGTAAAAAAACGATATAAATACTGTTCAGTTTCTTGCACAGACCGATCGTTTTGTGTCTTTACACATCAATGTATCGTCACGAGCCGCAGGGTTTAATTTGGTTTTGTTTGTGTATGTTTTTTTGACTCTCAAAACCGTGATTCCCATTCACTTCCATTATAAGACTGACAGACTCCAACGGTTTGAGTTAAAAATCTTCGTTTGTGTTCTACTGAAGAAACATAGTCACCTACATCTTGGATGCCCTGGGGGTAAGCAGATAAACACAAAATTTTCATTTTTGGGTGAACTATCCCTTTAAGGTAGTATTATAGTTTTTGTTAATATTTTAGATTTTATTTTTATATTTTCTCATTTCATGTTAATTTTAGGTTAAGTTTTATTAATTTTGAGTGTGTTTTTGTCATTTTCCCTTTTCTTATACTAGTTTTTGTTTTTAAATGTCTATGGTTTTTATTAATTTTATTTAAGTTTTAGTTGTTTGCCTTTGCAGTTTTTTTTAATTATTAAACAATTTTTTATTATTATTATTATTATTTATTTTATTTTCAGTTAACTTTTTTTTTTCAAGTAATGAAAATGTTTTTTTTTTTTATGGTTTTAGTTTTAGTTAACTATAATAACCCTGTTTTGAACTAAATTTCTCAAGGATTAATTTTGTTTAAAGCTGAACGATAAAGAATTTTTGTGTCCATGTTGATTTTATATGGTTTTGAAAAACATGCTATTTTCAATAAAAATTCAGTTGAATTTTAATGAGTGTAATGTGGTGTAACCATTAATTAAAAAGTAATTTTCCTTACAATTTGAATATATGTGGATGAACACATCTTCATGATTATTTCCAAAAAGTATTTTAATATATATATTTTTTTTAAATAAGAAGCATTTTTAACCAACGTTCATAAATTATTAATTTATACATATCTTTTTTTGAAGGAGTTGTACCACATGACTTACAGTCATGAGAAGGTTTTTAGGGGTCGTCACTGATATCACTTCATATGTTGGTTTTTGTTTTTGATTTTTTTTTCTGTATACTTTTGCACACTGTTTGGTTGCAACGCATGACTGATTTGGTGGACAAAGGAGAGGTCACATTTACCACAGTTCTGCAAACTTTCACAGGTAAAGTCCAGTAATTGCTATAGGAATCCAACTTTTTGCATGATTGTGAAAGATTTCCCCCCAGATTTCGAAGTCACTGTAAAAAAGTGTTCTTGTCATTGACTCATAATTATGTAGTAACGTGTCAAACAAACTCACTTTGGCAGCATCAGAGGGGTTGAACTGAAGCATGCCAGCATGCCGGCTGAAGATGAGGAGAGTCCGGATTACGAAAGGAGGTGGGATGGTCTGAATGTTCTCCATCTGAGGAAGTTCAATTTTCTGCAAGCTACAAGGGAACAGGAGGGATTTTAATCTATAGCAGTCTAATTATCGAACACAGAAGACAAAAACTACTCACATGACATTGAGGAGATCTTCCAGATCTACAGGTAAAAGTTAAGGAAATGATCAGTGTGATCATGATTCATTCTCACTGCTTCCTCTGCATCCCTTATTAATGTGTATCTGGACCGACCTGATTCCACAAGCACAAAAAATGAGCCTAACTGTCTAAATAAGGATACTGAAGGACTCGCAGACATTGGTTTCCAGGTCGTACAGAAAGCTGCACAGCTCTCGCGGATCAGACGTGAATCCTGATAACTGTGTGTGAAAGAGATTCAAATTAAAGTGGTCGTTCATATGAATGTCAAGCACTGACAGCAGTGTAACGTGCTCTATACGTCAAGCAATACTACTCCTGCATATGTTATTTCGGTTCTTTATATTCATGTTGGTTTCATATGGTTTTGTAAAACATTTATACCTTTTTGTCAACAAAAAATGTAAAAAACAAATGAAAATCAGAAATGTTGCCCAGGCAACTAACTGAAATAAAGGTTTAAGTAGAAGTACCAAAATTACTAAACCTAAAACTGAAGTAAAAATACATGAATAGAAATATTTGAACAAAAAATGAAAATGACAAAAGCACATTCAATTACTAAAACTTAAACTAAAGTTAAAATGAAAACTAAATATAAAAAAGTAGAAGCAAGTTCAAAAAATATAGTAAATACTGTAATAGTAAATAAAACAATTTAAATAACGCTGGATGTAACCATCAAGTAAAAGGTATTTATCATATTTTCCATACAGAATGAATACATGCATGTGTCTTAAATATTTAAGTTTTAAAATAAAAAATTTTCAGGGTAAAAATTCTAATTATTATTTTTATTTTTGTAAAGTCATAAAACATGATATTTCACAACCTGAACTAACCTTGCCTTGTCATAAAAATAATCTGATATTTTGAGAGACTTTCTATTCATGAGGGTCCTCTCTGTCTATAATATCAATAATAAGCAGTGAACAGTGTTGTTATTGTTAACTAAACTAAATTGAAAATTGTCTTTTGTAACTGAAATAAACCTGAAAGAGATATATATATATATATATATATATATTACATGAAAAACTTAAATGTAAAACTACTAAACATGTTGCCTTGGCATCTCACTGAAATAAGTACTAAAGTTGAAAAAAAATGAATCAAATTCAATTAAATCTACATAGAAATATAAAAAACTGAAAATGTCAAAAGCTCATAACAAAATGTATAAACTAAAATGAAAATGAAAATATAAAATAAAAGCATATAAAATATTACTAAAGTACAATAATAATAGTATATAAATAATACTTACATAACACTGTCAGTAAACAATTTTGTTAAAGCATTTTCTATGAAATAATAAAATGAGCTTTTAAAGAATTTCATTCTTTTTGAATCCTTCTGATTAAATTAACAGAACCAGACAAAAAAAGAGCGTCATGTTATTGACCCATCAGTGAGTCAACTACTCAAAGACAGATGAATGAAATTACAGCGAGTTTTAATTTCAGAGTGACAGTGTAGTTGAAGCTGTGTTTCTGTCCACTCACCCACATGGCATCATCATTCACCACCACCAGAGCAAACTCATGCCTTTTGTCGATCTTGTGCTTGGTTCTCACAAACATCTCAATCATTTTCTGTGAAATATTTAAGGCGTTCGTCTTGGACCTGGAAATATTAATCATTTACAGAAAATGTGTTTAAAATACATTCGTCTTTTCTAAATGAATGTGATAAACCAAGGAAACGGTTTAACTGAAAAACTGTAAAGTTACCCATTAAACGACTCCAGTTTGTGTAGAGACATCTCCTCTGAAAGGTCCAAACAGATGATCTGTATTAAAAAAAAGATATTGCGAGAAAACTTGACTGACAGACGTGTTTTCAGATGCACATATCCTGAAGTCCTGGAAGTTATTGACAGACCTACCACTTTCTCTGGGCAGTTGACTCGTGGCGCCCGCAGGTGTAACTCAGCTGATGGGGGGATCTGGGTGCTCATGGACGGCTGAGGGGGTTTGGGTCTCTCCTTCACCGCAGAAGCTATGGCAGGCATGCTGGCCGTGGAGCTTCCCGTCGCAGTAACAGCTGCAGGTGCGGTGGCTGAGATGGCGGTGGCAGAAGTCGGAGGGCTGTCGGAGCTGGCCGCTTCTCCCTCTCCCTCCACACGGCTGCCCACGGCGGGCTGCTGCGGCGGCGGCGATGCCAGGCTGTTGTTCAGGCTGCCGGTGCTGCTGCGCCGGTCCTCTGCACCCTCCGGATTGGAGCGGGTCCTGGGTCTCAGCTCCATCATCCGCTCCTCTCCATCTGCCTGACTGGGCTCAGGGGTCTCCATGACAACCTGACAACATCAGAACGCCACATATTACATACATAGCTAGTTCATGCATTCATGACCTCTAGACTGGACTATTGTAATGCACTGCTAGGTGGTT